TATTTCCAAACTGATTTTAACCAGTTCTATAGTAAGGTAACATTCCAATAGACAATATGCAAAGCTTTTTTTTCAGTTTACAGCAGTATTTATTACACAAAATTTAAGTAAAGCTTAACATGCCGATCTTGCCCCGGTCTCCCCTAAGTAATAATTACAAAACAAAGTGATATGACAAATTAATGATCACAATGACTAGTTTAGTGTCAATGTCCTTCATAACTTTCTTTTTATACTCCAACCATTTATTGTCATTTACATATTTATTGTACACGTAAATCTAACTGCAAATCTGTTGCCATAACAAAAATCTCAATCACGGTATCCCAAGTTTCAAAGTGAATATCTTACTCGTGTGTATCTCTACAACATGAGAACAGACACTTTGAAAGAAACTGACATTATCCAAAATGAATGAAATAATAATTTGTCCTCAATAGACCATGATTTTCTTGAATTCCAGTCAGAATCTTGCTGCAGAACGGATTTCATTCTGCAGATATCGAATGGTTGATTGATTGGAATGTTACAGTACATATACTGTACCAATTTCATATTTTATGCTGTTGGAACGTACTGTACAAAACATAAGTTCTTTGAGAGAGTAATTTGAAATTATTGGGATTACTTAAAATCGCCAAGCTATCACCAGGGATAAACTGAAATAGATTTCGTTCTATCTCCCAGTAATCTGAAAGCGGTTTTAAGTTACTGAGGGGTAGAGTGAAAACCCTACTCCCCAGTAACTTAAAACCGCTTTCAGATATATGGTGCCGTATAGGATACACTCCACAAACACCATAATAATGCTAATAATAATAATAAGACAATAAAGCAAAGCACATAGATCAGAAAATATATAAAATTTATCACGTTTTTCTTTTGAAATCAAGTAGCTTACTCAAAGCAATGACGTAACGATAAAATTATACTGTATATAGGCCTATATTAGTATGTGTGTATATATATGTACACACATACTAATATATATAACAATTCGTATATCGTATATATATCAAGTCTTTTTTGATCAAGTACTGTATATCAAGTTATTTTCCCAATTTATACTGGTTTCTTTGAATGCAATACATTAGCATTATAATCAAAACGCGCTATTTTATTGAGTAAGACAAAAGAATAAATTGTTATGTATATTGAATTGAATTGAAACTAATTTTCAATAGATTTTATAACGCTTTGAAAAAAGAAAGGAACTTTATCGGTTTAATGAAATTTACTAATGCAATCAATATTCCTGATATTGCATTAATTAGAAATTTCGTACATAAAATAATGCTTCTTTGTATTATAAAAAATTATTAACTCACATTTCTAACTATACATGTTTATAGTAATTTGTTTTTAATTTTCCTTTTTTATATACTAGTATTTCTTGATAATAAACATCAAGAAACGAAAATATACAAGAAAAAATTCTAGGAAGATTTGACTCTAGGAGGGGCCTCAAAGATAATTATTTAAAGCCTAATAATCTGCCGGATTATAGATCTATATTAAGGCTAATTTAATTATATAATTAGGTCCTGTGGCAGATTGGATAAAATCACAGAACACTGATTCGCGGGTTTGTGCCTAATCAAGGACTTGCCTCGTAGAGTTTTCCGAGCTTTCTTCACGTGCTTAATACCGAGTAGGCATCCAACTTTGGCAGATCGCCAATCTGTTACGTTACCTTATTTCATCAAGCCAGTCTAATTTTAAAGTGTGGTTTATTTTAATTAGTTTAATTTTTCCGTGTGCTTTTTACTTTCCTGGCTGTTATATATAACAGAGGAAAAGTATGGCAATCGGTCAAAAAATGACCCCCAATATTTTTACATTTTTGAACTCGGGACTTTGAAATGTCGAGAAATACAAAAAACTCGGGTATTTTCTGTATATATGAATGTAGATGTGGATGGGGGGCACGATTTTGTTCACTCTGTTTGAAGCTTAACAACTCCTGTGCTTTTAGTCGAAATTTTCTGAAATTTTGCCGGGAGGTTTGTTTATTATGGAAGTTGATTCCATTAAATTTTAATGATTAAAGATCGAGGAGTGGGAAGATAAAGGGGTCGTGTGTATCTCCAGTAGGGTCAGACTTAATGGCGATTTTACCTCGTTATTAACATTACAATTTTTTTTTATAAAACCCATTCCTATCCTCAAAATTAAGCTTTTTGCCATTTTATAATAATAATATAAAAAGTTTTTAATAATAAAATATGATAACAGAGACGCCATTAAATGTTGCAGGAAATGTTAAGCAAATCGTTGCTAGCTTTTATAAAATTAATATCTCTGTAAATTAAAATAAAAGAAGAAAATTATATAAGAAAGTTTATGTAATCACTTTAATTAAAAATCGTTTAAACATTCGTAGAAATAAAAGTTAACAATCTAATTTTTGAGTAAACGATTTTGGATAATGAACGTCTCAAATAAGATAATGAAGTTACTACAGATATTTAGTTATATTTCATTTTTCATGGTGAATAACAGAATTTCCATAAATTTAAGTTGTAAGCTTGTAATTGATGTTTTAAAAGTTTTCATAAATAGATCCTATTCAAACTTATGGAAATATTTAACATTTTACATTACAGTTCCTCATATTCTGCCAAAACAGAACGATAAATCTTCGTATTTTTTGTAGAATTTGAGTTAATATCATTAAAAAATATATTTTTTTTATTTTGAATTATTAGAGTAATAAATCAGATGATTTGGTGAATGTGTGTCTTCCTTAAATAAAACTATGATATAAGTTTTATTAAATACTAACAAATATTCTCGAGTTTTTAATTATTACATTACTTAATTTTAAAAAGTACATTATAATGCTATTTTTTCAAACCGAATTAATACGTTCAAAAGTTTGTTTGTAATGTTGAATTCTTCATATTGTAGAGATGGACTGTATGACCATTGTACAATCGATTAATCAGTTGTGACGGTTGTAATGATGATATCTATAATAGGAGAGCATATTGCAATTTAATAAAAATGTTTTGTATCATTGAATATGCAGTAAATGTTACTAGACATTGCAATGTAATTCGTGTAAAATGATCATTTAAAACAAGAGCAATGTTTTAATTTTGTTTGAAAATATATATGAATTGACTGTGGTGTTTGAATTATTAAAGACTTTGAATTATCAGATTGTACTAAGTAAATAGTTAATTGAGTAAAGTAATTAATTAAGTAAATAGTTATTAAATATTTGAATTTTTTACGATCGAACAGAAAAAAANACAGCACTGGCGAAAATTTAAATTTGCCGACTGAAATTCTTTCGGATGATTGACGTTTCGGATGATTGACTTTCGGAAAATCGACGCTCTACTGTAAAAGTAAAAAATACTTAGAATTCGCCCAGAAAATAAAGCACCTGTGTACTCATTGTACTAATAGTTCTTTCTTGCAGAAGCGTTATACCACGTACTGCACATTACACAAAAGTATTAGGGCTTCACAGCAGAACTTACTTCACGGTCCAGAAGTCTGCCATACTAAACACATGTCACGTAATCAAGAAATTATTAACCACAGAAACATGATAGAACAGCGCGTAAACAAAACTTTTGTTTTCTGTAGTTATGGCTTGACCCACCAAATATCGATAAAAAGATTTCAAATTGCTCTCTATTTAAGTTATCTCCCGGAGCTCTAAATCGATTTTCGATAGGTAACAGAATTCAAATAACCCTCAGGGTTAGTCTAAACTATCCACTGTTTAACTTAATATAGGGGAGACCGGGCCAACTTCGGCATGCGGACGTAACTGGGATATAGGCGGATAGGTATGCGCGTAATTGTTAAGATGCGTTAAATGGGGGTGTGTTTACAAAAAGTTACGTAATATTAGGATCTTTAAATTGACTGGTATTGTTCTCAGATTTGGCTTAAACTGTAGGGGGTTGATTAAGTTTATGCGTTAAGAAATTTTGGGAGTGAATACATACAATAGCGTGCAATGTAGCATTATGCATAGGGGTGGTTGGTGGTTGAAGAATTGCGTAATTTATGGGCTATTCCATATTTCTGTGTTATATAATCATACCTATTGATGAAAAATTGCACTATATTGCAGCAATTTTGCAATGTAGTGTAGGTTGACTACTGTGCATTGCTCTACATGAAATTTTGAGAGAGAACTATTTTTATACATATAAAGTATGATATGTAGTGTACCAATCGCTGGTAAACTTCACAATCTTGTGATAGTTATGAGAACGCTATATATTAATTTTAGTACCGTGAGTTGTCATGTTTTGGTCCAGTTTGAAGTGATTTTTCTTAAAGAATTCGCAAGTTTTCTTTAATAGTTACACCATGACGTCATTTCTCACGTCATTGTAGATACAATAGATACACAGTTTGCCCGTAATGAGAATTTGATAAATTGATTATTGTCGTTATTATTTATTCAGGCCTACCTAATATATATATTTCTCTGTTATAAAGTAACAGAGAAATATATATAATATTAATATACCTTAAAACAAAAAAAAAGGTCATTTAGNGAAAGCTTTTTTTTTCAGTTTACAGCAGTATTTATTACACAAAATTTAAGTAAAGCTTAACATGCCGATCTTGCCCCGATCTCCCCTAATTATTATTCTTATTATAGTTTTAAAAGTTTGATTTTTAAATTATTTCTGTTTTTATTGACAGATTTATTGAAGTTTTTGTCTTTTTTATATAGTTTCGGAATGCAGCACGATGGTTCTGGCAACGACTGTCTTGTTAAAATCAACGAACCTGGTTATATCATGTCGACTCAATTATCTCGATTAGTTTATCCAGTTAAATGGTCTCGATGCAGTCGACAATATATTACGGATTTTTTCGAGTGAGCTACCATCTTTTGATACTTTTAAAAAACTTAAAACCAGAAAATGTTTGTTATATTTTCTTACATTGAAGTTCAGGTCAAGGAGATTGTCTTCAAAATGTTCCCCCAATGAACGACTATGCTTATACGGATCTTCTACCAGGTCAAAGATACAATGCCGATCAACAATGTCGAAGTCAATTTGGCCCACATTCTTCCGTGTGTCAGGATATTCAAAGGGTGAGGGTGAAAAACAATTATATTAATTCTTCAGTCAGTTAACTCAATAAAATGATAATTGAACATATTCTAAAGTAGGAAGTGTGCGGTACTTTATGGTGTTCTAAACACAAAGGCAGATGTGTTAGTAACAATACACCGTTATTGGACGGAACGGTCTGCAATTCAACCACGGTTCCCAATGGTGTAAGTAAATATTGAAATTTTATCTTTGAAAAATTATTGATTTTATCACAGTTTTCAAATTTTTATAGTGGTGTTATGGAGGTGAGTGTGTAGATTATGGAACGATACCATCTAAAGTCGATGGCGGATGGGGACAGTGGTCCGAATGGGGAGTTTGCTCTCGTAAATGTGGCGGAGGAATTGAAACTAGTGAACGACAATGCGATAAACCGAGGTAGGTGTCAACACAATCACAGACAGACAGATTATTAAAAGTCATCAAGAAAGAGTAGAGAGAACAATTTTAAACTCTGAATGTAAGATTAATTGTAATATTAAATAATATAGACCTATATTTTTACATATAAATACAATTGTAAATAACTTATGTTTTATTCGTTTAAATTATTATTTTTAGCGAAGTTATTTTCTTAAGTTAAGCAGAAATATTTTATACACAGGTTTTTCTCTCACTTATGCATTCATGAATTATATTGTTCACGAAAGTAAAAAATTCGTTATCAAACATCAACAAATTACTTCGAAGAATTTTGGATAAAACTAATTTACTGGTTTATATAGAAAATATTTATATATATTAGCTTTCTTATAAGTACACAAGTATCAAAATATTGAGGCTGAATAAGAGAATATTTCTAATTATTATAAGATATAATTGCTCATTTATTTAACGTTCTTTTGAGATAAATATATCGTCAAGGATTAATAGAATACAATTTATTTTGATTACAAACATTTATAACAGTAAATATATTTTTAATAATGTTTTTCTTTGATCAGATAATGAGATGGTGGACTACAGATTGTGTGAAGTGTTTGTTTAATTACAGCAAACTATAGTTAATTGAATTAATCTCTCTAACATTCTTGCTGCAATTGAATATTAAAGTATTCTATTGGGAATCTTTTGGTCCTCTAAAGTAGTCTTAATTAAAGGAGTGTTTTAAAGTGGCTCGAGGTATTTTCTATTAAGGCCATTTGATAATCCCTTACGGTCTCGTTAAAATTACTCTTTGATAATCTATCATGCGATGAGATTCTCGTTCCCTCTTTGAAATTTATATTTTCTGAAAAATCAGTGATACCCTAAGAAAAAAAGAATTGAAATTCAGAGGAAAAACACATCAAAGTACGGGTCAAGGCTGAATACAAAAACTGGTACTAAACGAACTCTCAATATCACTCGATCTAAGAGTAATAAATAAATAAATTATTTTAAGCTTGTATTACATAGATATAAGTAATTTAAAATTGACTTTATTCAGTCATTTTCTAATTAATAGATGAGTTACGTGCAAATAATTGATTAAATAATTGAAAATTATTTAAAGCAATTTATGAATAAGTGTTAAAAAAAACTTTGTTTTTGAACAATTATGTTTTTCTACTTTTTGTAAAATTAAAACGTTTCATTTTTCATTAAGATAAAACTGAATATTTGCTTAAACTATTAATTAATTTTATAATTAAAAAAGCCAGCATTTAGNCATCGGAATTAAATATGGGAATTGCAATGTGCTTTGAGGTTCATCACAAAAACCTACTTATCTCAGTTTACAATAAATATTTATCTTCTTTTACGTTTTCAAAATTTCCTGTCACATAGCCTGTTTACGAAATACTGTACTATTTCGTTAAATGAAAGTAGGTTAGTGGAGAATTTACGTCAAAAAACTTAAAATTAGTATCTAATTTTAACTTTTTGAGGTTTTTAAGATAATTTCTTTTACTTTTAATGACGTTTTTCTTTCTTTCTGGCTTGTTGATGTGTACGTTTAACCAATATAAAATTTTAAAACAAATATATACATATAGATAATCGCATTCTGAGGAAAACTTGAAGGATATTTATACCCTATTATATTATTATTACCTCAAAAAGTGCTACATAAATTGGAAGTAATGCGGTTTATAAGTAAATATATGTAGGTCATCTCCTGAAGAAATTCCCTACTTTATATATTCCAGATTCATACTGAACTTTTTCTTATTAGATACAAAAAATATATTGTGTCTGATCGGTTTATTGCGATGATTTAATTGATTTAATATGAAATGTAATATTTAGTTGTGGAATATCATAAGACAAGTGGAATGAAAGTAGAAAATTAAATAAACATAAATGAATAATAATGAAAAATAGCGGGTCTTTCATATTTGTCTAAAAGCTTGATTGAACTGATGCTATAATTATATGGCAAGCTATTACATTATTCCTTTTATGTATTTAGGGAATGAGGTTGTTTATAATTTATGCTTATTAGCCAACTTGTTTCTTTTAACATCAAAACATATTTCTTTGCACTATATAAAAAATGATTCCAGTAAATTGACTTTTTTCTCTGTGTTAATAATGATTGATTGTTCAAATGTTCCTCGTGATATTGATTTCTGCACATTTAAAAAAATGAATTTAATTAATGTTTAATTTGATGTAGAGTATAATTAAATCCAGATCTTTCTAGAATGAAGACAAATCAATACAGATTTCCTCTTATTTCAATGAAAGTTTTTGATATTACCTCTGATTAAGTAGAATATTTTTAGTGTCAGGGAGCGTGAGAAATGAAAGTTACACAAATCTCACTTTTGATCATGTTAAGATAAACATCCCTTTTTGAAACATACTGAAAATAAATTCATGTTATAGAAAACAGTACTCTTATGAATGCTACTAAAGTTATGGCAAATATTGTATGAAACAGAATACGTTTTCAGTCAACAACTTAAGTTTTTTAAAGAACAAAAGCTTTATTCGAACAACTTAGTTTATTCGAACAGTGGCGCATTTAGAAGTATTGCGCCCCAAACTAATAGTGCCACTTTTATTACAATTAAATTATATATATATATATAAATGAGGATGTTTCCTTATTTGTTCGCTATGCATACCTAAGCTGTTCGACCAATTGCTACGAAACTAGGCATTTACATCAACATACTTCTAACTTGAATAATGTCATAAATATCACCCCAAAATATCGATTGGATTTCTATATATCAATTAATTTCTGTCCACATTCGATTTCACTGGCTTTTCACTTAACGCTATCTACAGTATTGGCAAAAAAATTAACAAAATAACAAACTAAATAAAATTCTTACAAAAAAAGATATAATTTAGGAAATATCATATTCACTTAATTACTGAGACAATGATATAGCGAGAAATAAGCGCGCCATTACGCCATTATTACGACAGGTCGTACATAGCACTTGCCAGCGTGGAGTGTAGTAGTGTTACTACACTCTATTACACTGTACTGTACATCGTACTTTTCCTGTTATCAATAGTCGTGCCACTTATGTATGACTCAATTTCTAACAGGAAAAGCATGGTGTACAGAGACATGACACTATTAATTTGAGTGGAGAGCATATATCTTACATTAAAAACATTAAAATATGATTAAAAATTGTAGCCTGGCATTGTGACGATGTTAAATAAATAATTGCTTGTTTTGTTAAAGAACTATTACAAGTAAATTAGTTTTCTAATATATAATTATAGATTAATCATCGACACAAGGAAATATTTGGATTGATAATTAAATTATACGTTTAAATAGATATGACTGGATAGTCAAAAGATTATGACAAATTTATCTCTGGTGTTATCACAAGAGTGCTGTAATAAAATTTCTTGTGACTTTATAATAAATCTGAGAGCTTTCTTGATATATGTAACTAAAAGTTGAATTCCTTTTCACTTGACAAACCCTTGAGCCAAAAAGTCCGTTTTCTTTAAGTATCAGTTTCGTGTTTAATAATATAATCACGTATCGTTCTTCTTACTTTTATATAAAATGTATCATATCCTTTAAAAGTTTCCTTTTTCTTTATCTCAAAATAGTGAGGCACGTTCTAAGGTTAAACACGTTCCTGCTCTATCAGAAGATTTTTTTTAACCTTCTGATAAACGCGGAATATATAAAACACCATTAATAAATCAGGAATATGTGATACATTTTACATGGGAGCCATTTTACAAGAATGATCCGTGACCGCATTAATGAATATACAACTGATATTTTTTTAATAGATTTTATTAGCAGAAAATATTCTTATATTCGCTTGTTATTTGTTTATTAGTTAAAATTAAAAAAATAAATAATAAAAATAAATTAACTAAAACAAATTTATATTATTTTAATAGCGTTATAATTTAATGGGAAAAAAATTAACTGAACTATTTAGATTTATTTTCTTGTATATGACACTTAAAAAGTAGTTTTATAATTAAAATTTGTATAATTTGTATGCAAATGATTCAACATATTTATCGAATGCGAGAAGAACTTGGAATTATTTTCAAGTAAAATCGTTTCTTGTTTATTAATACGCTTATTATAATTTTAATATTATTGTATATAGTTGTATGCGTACATGCATAAATTAATGCTTGAAAGCATTAAAGTAAAATTCTTTCGTATAAATTACTTATATACAGTACTTACATTACTATTCAAATTAGCACAGCATAATTTAAAAAAAATTTATTTAATTGTCATTTGCAATGTAAAAAAATGTGTCTGCTCATAGCCTTAATGAGCTGTTATTTCGCGTTTAGACAATTAATCAATCTGCTTCCTATATTCAATCTGTAAACACTTAAATCAGAACTCAACAATTCATTTTAATATTTATTTATAAAATTCGAAATTTACTATAAACCTAGTTTAAAATGATATGTACAACATGCTTTTATTTTATTTCATATTCTCAATGAATAAAAAGAATGGAAGACATTATATAGCCGAATTTTGGACCTTTAATCAATGACGTCACAGTAGTAACTGTTCTAGGAATTTCGTTTCGAGCACAAATACAGAGTATCTTTTCGAGAACTGTTGCAGCATTGCAACGAATATAATTTAAGTTTATATTAACGAATATAATAAAGTTTAGAGAATTAAAATATTGTTTATTACATGGATCAAACAGTATCAGAATAACGAAAATAATTATACTTGAATTTATACATTATAATTATTATAGATAGGATAATCCATTATTCGATGTTATATGCTCTTTAGAAACCAACCCCTTTTATATCAGATTAGAGATAATTTGTATTATTCACAGTTATATTAAATAAAGTCTATAAATATATAAACTTTAAGGGTTTTAAAATCTATTGTTTTTTAAAACTTATTCCAAATCTATCAGTATGGATTGAGAGAGAGAGAGTGATAAAAAAGAATTGTCATAGAAAATAAAATGTAAATTTAACGAGCAATTATTTATTATGACATTGTCACAATGCCGGACTGCAATTTTTAATCATATATTTTAAATGACAGTAATTTAATTTAAAATAATATATATATTATTTTAAATTTTATATATTTTATATTAAATAGCCTATATTTTATTATATTTTAAATTAATTTAATTTAAAATATATGTTTTCCACCTCAAATTAGTAGTCTTGTGCCTATACATCATATTTTTCCTTTAACAATAGAGTCGTGCCGGTCATCTATCTAACACCTTTTAGGGGAAAATTTTTGAATTGAAATAACGTGCTTTACACTGAAAGTTCATATATATCTAGTTAATCCGGTCCTCCTGCTCCTACGGTTTTCATGTCGGAATTGTATAGAATCCTTTACATAACATACATATTTTGATTTTTATATATAGAGATAAGACCTACAACCTACACCTCAATGCAAACTTTTTTATATACATAGATTTGTGTTTATTGACGACTGCAATTAAAATAGGTGTATATATGTTGTATGGGTATATATGTGGGTGTAAATTACGGGGTGTATATATGTTAATAATTATTACAAGAATTTCTCAAAGAAATGTTTGTTTATTAGGCCTAGTCATGGTGGCAGATTCTGTGTTGGAAAAAGGAAGAGGTATCGATCGTGCAATGTAAAAGTAAGTGAAATGTGTTTACGATTTTTTAAATGCTGTAATGTAAATCTTGTGTTTTATTAAGATTTGTATTACTTAAGAATACAGTAGAGTCTTACTTATCCGGCCTCTCAATTAACCGGCATATCTCATTAAACAATCTTTCTCTTATTAATGTTTATCATTTTTTAAAATACATATAGTAAACTTGTAACATTAACTTTAATAAAAAATTTAGTTTGCAATTACAGTACAAGTGTAACGTCGCTTAACGAGCACAATTCGTTTCAGAACTCGTAATGCGAAACACTCGTTAATTGAAACAATTTTTCCTATATAAATTAATGTAAAATATGATAATGCGTTTCATGCCGAAAAAATACTCAAATATTTTATGTATAAAGTTTATTCAAAGAAAATAATACACTATACTGTACATTGTTAAGGAGCGTGAATCATCTTCATCTTTTCTTCTAGCGCAGAATGAACCAGCCTAGAATGCGAATTCGATTTGCAGAAAACATAAAAAAATCACAGATAATATGTCTGATAAACATGCCAAACTATATGCCAAATGCTTAGGCTTTGTAAAGGCTATAATTAAATATTAGAAATGAATTAATTTGACAAGAGGTAGGCAGTTACGCTTCCATCTCGTATTAAATTTAATGACCAATTCCAAATTAAATTTTAGAAATGTCTGAATTAAAAATTAATTATTTATAACTATTAAATTTAATACGAGATGGAAGCATTACTGCCTACCTCTAGTCAAATTAATTAATTTCTAATATTTAATTATAGCTTTTACATATCCCAAGAATTTGGCATATCGTTTGGTGTGTATAACGGGCTATGGTTGTTGATGTTTATATGTAATATGTCTGAACACAAGTTTGGAAAATGTACGATCACAAGCGACACTAAAAGATGCTAGCGGAACGAGTACACAGACTGATGTAATATGAGCACACTCCGGAACTTCTCCTCTCCTCGTCACTCGTTATGCGAAACATCGCTCGTTAAACGAGTCATTTTTTACAATTGGTTTTGCTTATTAAGCGAGGTTTTACTTTATATGGTTTTCGTTTTAATGTTTCTTATATTATAGTATTTTATTACTACAAAGGTTATCTTANTTTTTCAATCAATGCATCTTTTTTTTTCCTTCAGTTCTGATTATTGGGTTGAATACTATATATGCAATATATAAATACCAATATTTAAAAAAAAAATATATGTTTTCCACCTCAAATTAGTAGTCTTGTGCCTATACATCATATTTTTCCTTTAACAATAGAGTCGTGCCGGTCATCTATCTAACACCTTTTAGGGGAAAATTTTTGAATTGAAATAACGTGCTTTACACTGAAAGTTCATATATATCTAGTTAATCCGGTCCTCCTGCTCCTACGGTTTTCATGTCGGAATTGTATAGAATCCTTTACATAACATACATATTTTGATTTTTATATATAGAGATAAGACCTACAACCTACACCTCAATGCAAACTTTTTTATATACATAGATTTGTGTTTATTGACGACTGCAATTAAAATAGGTGTATATATGTTGTATGGGTATATATGTGGGTGTAAATTACGGGGTGTATATATGTTAATAATTATTACAAGAATTTCTCAAAGAAATGTTTGTTTATTAGGCCTAGTCATGGTGGCAGATTCTGTGTTGGAAAAAGGAAGAGGTATCGATCGTGCAATGTAAAAGTAAGTGAAATGTGTTTACGATTTTTTAAATGCTGTAATGTAAATCTTGTGTTTTATTAAGATTTGTATTACTTAAGAATACAGTAGAGTCTTACTTATCCGGCCTCTCAATTAACCGGCATATCTCATTAAACAATCTTTCTCTTATTAATGTTTATCATTTTTTAAAATACATATAGTAAACTTGTAACATTAACTTTAATAAAAAATTTAGTTTGCAATTACAGTACAAGTGTAACGTCGCTTAACGAGCACAATTCGTTTCAGAACTCGTAATGCGAAACACTCATTAATTGAAACAATTTTTCCTATATAAATTAATGTAAAATATGATAATGCGTTTCATGCCGAAAAAATACTCAAATATTTTATGTATAAAGTTTATTCAAAGAAAATAATACACTATACTGTACATTGTTAAGGAGCGTGAATCATCTTCATCTTTTCTTCTAGCGCAGAATGAACCAGCCTAGAATGCGAATTCGATTTGCAGAAAACATAAAAAAATCACAGATAATATGTCTGATAAACATGCCAAACTATATGCCAAATGCTTAGGCTTTGTAAAGGCTATAATTAAATATTAGAAATGAATTAATTTGACAAGAGGTAGGCAGTTACGCTTCCATCTCGTATTAAATTTAATGACCAATTCCAAATTAAATTTTAGAAATGTCTGAATTAAAAATTAATTATTTATAACTATTAAATTTAATACGAGATGGAAGCATTACTGCCTACCTCTAGTCAAATTAATTAATTTCTAATATTTAATTATAGCTTTTACATATCCCAAGAATTTGGCATATCGTTTGGTGTGTATAACGGGCTATGGTTGTTGATGTTTATATGTAATATGTCTGAACACAAGTTTGGAAAATGTATGATCACAAGCGACACTAAAAGATGCTAGCGGAACGAGTACACAGACTGATGTAATATGAGCACACTCCGGAACTTCTCCTCTCCTCGTCACTCGTTATGCGAAACATCGCTCGTTAAACGAGTCATTTTTTACAATTGGTTTTGCTTATTAAGCGAGGTTTTACTTTATATGGTTTTCGTTTTAATGTTTCTTATATTATAGTATTTTATTACTACAAAGGTTATCTTACATAAGGGTTTATCACACCTAGTGACATTTTTAAAATTCTTTATTTATTTTCTGTACACAGTTTAAAGAATTTTTAAAATATGTTAGATTGGTCAGTTGGTGTGATAAACCCTTACGTAAGATAAATAACCTTTCTAAATATAGATCAAATACTATAATATAATATAAGAGTTAGAAGTACGAAATAATATAATAACCTTAATGTCCTTATTTTTGCCCGGGTAACGCCGGGCTTACCTGCTAGTATAGTACTTCAATATATTCTATTAATTATTAATATATTCATTCTTACAGAAACGATTTTTGGATGCTCATTTTAAACATCAATGCGATTTCTGATTCTCACGTGCTCTCAATCAAGATATGAAATATACATATACCGTATATACACACAGTTAGGATAAATGTAGTATAAATTAATCGAATTACTTGTAAATCAAAAGACATTGTTTAACAAAATCTTTTTAACAATAAGACAACAAAACAGACTGGAAGAGTTCATTTTCGAATCTCGTAAATTTCGATGTGATTAAATGTCTAATTAAAAAACTGAATGTTTTATTATAAAATAACAGAAAAATTACACTTTAAAAATTTACTACATCGCAGTATCGAGACATTCGTAAAACTTATGTTTTATCCAATGTGACTTTTATCATATACTGTAATGAATATAATAAAAATGTACAGAATTAAAGTGATAAATTAAATAAAATAATTATTTTCATGACAAAAATCCATATAAAATGCAATCTTATGAGAATAATTTACTAATTATTGTCTCTGATAATTAGAAATATAAATAAAATAAATATTTCACCAAAAGAAAATCAAGAAAATAATTATTTTTCTTATATAGGAAATTTAGATTTTCTAACGATTTAGTATTAATTGATGATTAATGTATTTATCCAATGTATATTTTTTCAACATCTCGTTCGAAAGCACAAATTACTGATGTCTAATATTAAAGTTTTAAAATCATTTATGAAACATAAAACAAAAATACATCAAATTTCAATAAATTTTCTTACTTAAGGCTAAATTAAACATTAGCACTATAAGCATGTTCGTTTGGTTGAGACGCTTTTATTTTAATCTGACGTCACTTTTTAAACTTGTCATTCCTTCAGTTTTTACAAAGAACATCAAATTGACGTTAAAGTGTAGACTTTCTGGACGAAACGAACAGAATTTAAAGTCTTAATTTTGATGATCTTGACCATAAAAACATAAAATGAACATATCTTGACCATATTATCTTATTCCATTTCATATAAATACAGTATATCATGGCGAGAAAAATGAATTTAGTTATTTTAACTTATTTATCCTTTAATTATATTCATTGATCAATCCTTAAATATCCTACTATATGCACTAACTTTTTCAATCAATGCATCTTTTTTTTTTTCCTTCAGTTCTGATTATTGGGTTGAATACTATATATGCAATATATAAATACCAATATTTAAAAAAAAATTCATATATCATCAAAAATATTTTTAATTTACAAGATGCATATCCATTTTTAAATTGAAATTTTTTTATATTCAGATTTTAAAGATTTTATTGTAAAAAAATTCATTAAAATCAAATACTGTTAAACCTCGATATAGCGCCCTCATAAACAGCTTCATCTTCTAATGAATGCTCGTGTACAATTCTTCCTCATAAATATTAAAGGAAACCCTTCAGTACTTATGAATTAGCAAACGTACGACTTTGCACTGCAAACGACATCGTTATTAACAAATTAACAATTGACTTCGAATTGTCAAACGCATTGAGAACCTCTGTTTAGCGCCACACAATTAATTTTAGAGGCGAAATAATGGCAATAAATGGAAGTTTGACTGTACTGTACAGTATAAACTTTTAGTTAATTCTAATATTAAGTATAATTTATATTTTTCATAAATTAGGGATGCCCTAGCAATTCAGAAGATTTTCGAGCCATGCAGTGTAGGAAGTTCAATAATATTAAGTTCAGAGGAAAATACTACCAATGGATACCATTTACAGCAGGTTAGTCGATTTATAGATAAGATTTATAGTATAAAAAATTAAATATCTTTTTTTCTTTTTTACTCTTTCTAGATCAAGTGAATTCGTGTTCTCTATACTGTCAAGCAGTGGGATATAATTTTTACGTAGAACAAGCGGTGAAAGTCATCGACGGAACAAGATGTAACCAAGATAGCTTAGACGTGTGCATTAATGGAAGATGCATGGCGAGTACAGTATTAGGCTAGTACAAACTCTTAAAACTATTGTCCCGTAGGAATGGGATTTTGATAGTTTATATTTTATTTTAACAAAGCCTGTTGGCTGCGATGGGATACTTAATTCTAAAGTAACGGAAGACAGGTGCAGAAAGTGCGGTGGCGACGGCAGCACTTGCAGGACTCGAAGAGGATTGCTGGAGAGCAGTTTGGATAATAAAGTTAACTGTGAGTAATTGTCACTTTTGCGCATGTGTCGCCACCTGGTTTTCAATTTTGTTATTAATGTCATATATTTTTATATAATATTGTTCGAAACCACAAATTACTGATGTCTAATATTAAAGTTTTAAAATCATTTATGAAACATAAAACAAAAATACATCAAATTTCAATAAATTTTCTTACTTAAGGCTAAATTAAACATTAGCACTATAAGCATGTTCGTTTGGTTGAGACGCTTTTATTTTAATCTGACGTCACTTTTTAAACTTGTCATTCCTTCAGTTTTTACAAAGAACATCAAATTGACGTTAAAGTGTAGACTTTCTGGACGAAACGAACAGAATTTAAAGTCTTAATTTTGATGATCTTGACCATAAAAACATAAAATGAACATATCTTGACCATATTATCTTATTCCATTTCATATAAATACAGTATATCATGGCGAGAAAAATGAATTTAGTTATTTTAACTTATTTATCCTTTAATTATATTCATTGATCAATCCTTAAATATCCTACTATATGCACTAACTTTTTCAATCAATGCATCTTTTTTTTTCCTTCAGTTCTGATTATTGGGTTGAATACTATATATGCAATATATAAATACCAATATTTAAAAAAAATTCATATATCATCAAAAATATTTTTAATTTACAAGATGCATATCCATTTTTAAATTGAAATTTTNTACTAAGGTACATCGGAATTAAATATGGGAATTGCAATGTGCTTTGAGGTTCATCACAAAAACCTACTTATCTCAGTTTACAATAAATATTTATCTTCTTTTACGTTTTCAAAATTTCCTGTCACATAGCCTGTTTACGAAATACTGTACTATTTCGTTAAATGAAAGTAGGTTAGTGGAGAATTTACGTCAAAAAACTTAAAATTAGTATCTAATTTTAACTTTTTGAGGTTTTTAAGATAATTTCTTTTACTTTTAATGACGTTTTTCTTTCTTTCTGGCTTGTTGATGTGTACGTTTAACCAATATAAAATTTTAAAACAAATATATACATATAGATAATCGCATTCTGAGGAAAACTTGAAGGATATTTATACCCTATTATATTATTATTACCTCAAAAAGTGCTACATAAATTGGAAGTAATGCGGTTTATAAGTAAATATATGTAGGTCATCTCCTGAAGAAATTCCCTACTTTATATATTCCAGATTCATACTGAACTTTTTCTTATTAGATACAAAAAATATATTGTGTCTGATCGGTTTATTGCGATGATTTAATTGATTTAATATGAAATGTAATTAGTTTGAAATTCTTTCGTACATCGCATTTCAAAAATTTTAAAATAATAATAAATTTTTAAATTCAAAGAATAGTTTGAAGAAATTTTATACGAAAATTAGTCGTCCGAATTAAATTATTTCTGAACAATATTGACTTTTTCGACATTCCGATTTCTGGGATATTCTGTTAATTTACTAAATTAACAGCATTACAACAGCAAATAAAACTTTATATTAAATTTATTTTTCTGTCAAAGTTTACATTTCATTTAATTTTAACTCGAACGTTATAATTTATTTCGAATTATTTCTTTTCGATTTTCTTCTTTCAACCACTCTATATTGTTCACTTTTGAATTGAAATCGGTAATAAACAATGATAATCTATGGAATTTTACATTTTAATAATAACAACAACAACGTTTTATTTTTCAACTTCCAAGGTATTAATTATATGTTCTGAGAATTTACATCATCTAATTATAAACGAAATTCTTTCATTTTCTGTTCGAAACAAAATAATCTTGATATAGATTTATGTATAACCTACGTTATATAATCCTACTGTGTTTTAGTTATTACAGAGTTTGCTCACGACGTATTTTACATTATAATTGCAACGTTCTTATGTGGACGTGCCTAACGATGAAGATGCATTGATGTCAATAAAGGATCAAATATGATTGGTTTCGCAATTTTTATAAAATAAACTTCTAGCGTGAAACTTTTCTTATGCTTATACTGGTACAGTACATTATGCACAAAGTTATAACGGACGTCTTTATTTCGTAAAATACGTCGTGCGCAAACTCTATATTGATAGCATGAATTAAAAAAAATCTAATCCACTTACACTGAATTTTAATGCCAATAATTTTTAAAAAAAAGGACACGCCTTCGTCGTAACCTAGGACATTTTTAAAATTAGAACTAACGTTTTCAGCCTAATTTTACATCTTCCTTAATTTCGGTCATAAAGAAAATTATCCTCGTGATTAAACCCGAAGATGGTCCATAAATTGCTAGTATAAAAATTTTTATGTTTAATTTTATTTAGTGTTCTTTTCTAGATTCATAAATAAATTAAAGCTTTTACAAATTAGTGACTGGAAAGTTGATTTAATGAATGTAACTTCTAATTAATTTAAAACTTGTAATTATATCAGTACGATAGTGAGACTTTTATACATTTATCTAACAATTATCTATGTTTCTTTTCTTATAATTCAATTTGTAAAGTGGTGTTTTACCCCTCCCCCTACTTAATGTTGTGAGTGGTGGTGGGTCAGCGGTTATGCTCGTCGAGCGGAGGAAACGGGATTTTTCCTGCATCTCGGAGAAAATTAAGGAGCTGATAGTAGTTCCTATCCATATAAATTAAATATAAATCATTTTATAATTTCAATTAATAGAAGAAATGCTTTTATATATTTAAAGTAAAATTACAGAAAGTATATTTTAATGACAAAATTTTATGAATTTAAATAACAAGCCAAGAAATAATCCAATTAAATTACTTTTGACCAGATTAATTATATTCATAATTATAATTCACTTTTAATTACTATTTTGTTTTTAATTTTAATTGAAAATTAATTAAATTCAGAAAGTTAGAATTAAATTTAATACTTTTTTTACACAAAAATTTAAGATTTGTTCATATCTTCAACATTTTCTCTCTTTAAAAATTAAAATAAAATTAAATAAATTAAAAGTAAAATTAGTAAATTAAATTTAAGTTTTAAATATTTTAATAGAAGATAAATTATTCTTGAAATGATTACTAAGATATTTAATTTACAGCATTGAAAACATCTGATGGGAATTTTCCCATCAATGGAAAGTGGACCATAAGTTGGCCAGCTGTTTATAATGTAGCAGGCACAAGATTCCATTATCAACGCGTTGATAGTCATCTAGAATCACTTCAAGCCATTGGACCAATATCCGAAGAAGTAACGATAATGGTATTAACAACAGCATTTACTTTAATTATAATTAATCTTTTATAAATTTACATTTAATTTCATTTTTTAGTTATTACTTCAAGAACCAAATAAAGGGATTAGATACGAATTCAACGAACCCGTAGACTCAATAAAATCAGTTCCAAATTATACATTTAAATGGGTATATTTACCCTGGTCAGACTGCTCAAAATCTTGCGGAAAAGGTTCATTTTAATTATAAGTTTGATTTGTAATAAAATTAAAATTATTATTGCAGTAATTAGATTATAAAATTATAATAATAAAAGCGATTAATTATAAATTTAATTTAATATTTCAAATATTTATTATAACAATTTTTATGAAAAAAATTTATTATTTTTTTGGTTAGGTATCACGAGATCTGAAATTGTTTGCGTTAGGAAAGACGATCAAAGTCGTGTCAGTGATATTTATTGTGTTAGACTACGTAAACCAGCTGTAAAAACAAGACTGTGTAATTTAAAACCGTGTCCACCTAGGTAAATTAATTTATAAAAACACATAAATTAGATTTTAAAAAAATAAATATTACTACAGTAACCCCTCGTTATATCGCGTATGTAGGGAAACAAACCAAATGCGCGATATAACCGATGTATCTATTCATTTTTGGCTATAGCGCTTTTATATTTGGAAGACAAACAACACGATGTAACGAGGGGCTACATTTTCTTTACTATGTAATTTTTTTTCTGTATTCTCAATATATACTATGTAAATGATAAGGAGTCAAAGTTAAAATGTGCAAAATTACATTCATCCTATGCCACTGTGAATATAACCACTAGTGTTGTCTGTAGAGTGTAAACGCTTAGATATTGTATATACAGGTGCATAAATGTATCTGTCACATTAAAATCTTTTTACTGTACTTATTTGATATTTTCCCCTCATTTATTTATTTACAGAGATAAGGGAGTTTGAGCCTGTTTGTCCCTCCCTCTTGGTTACGCTAATGAATATTATTAAAAATATTTAACATTAAAGACATCGATCATATTATTGAATTGTTCTGCATATTTTAAATTATTATTATTAATTAATAAATAAACTATATCTAATAAAATAATGTAAATGAAAATTTCGTCTGTGATGCAGATGGAGTGTTGGAACTTGGGGAAAATGTTCGCGAAGTTGTGGAGGAGGATATAAAACTAGAGCTGTAGTTTGTGTTCAGAAAGTTGATCATCTAGAAGAGAAATACGTCGATGAAGTGTTGTGTCTAAATAAAAGACCTATAGATAGAACAAGATGCAACGAAAAGCCTTGTCCAACTCGATGGCACACTGGAAAATGGTCTAAGGTAAATTTCAATATATGCATTTAATAAACTTATTAATAATCCAAAATTAAATATTTACATGTATTGTATAGTGCGTAGGGAAATGTGGAACAGGATATAGAAACAGAACGGTGAGTTGCGTGATTACAGATGGTATGAGAAAAGTTCCTTCATCATTATGTATAGCAAAGTACAAACCACCAGAAATAGAACATTGTAACAATGAAATGTGTCCAAAGGCTCATTGGGTAACCGGAAGATGGACAAATGTAAGTTCAATTTTAGATTTTCAATTCAGGATTTATAACCCGTTAGATGACAAATATCTATAATCTAAAATATTTTTTATCTTAAAAATTATGTAAATAAACAGTTAAACAATTCATTTAAAAATTTTTTTCACATAGAAAAATAATTTGTTTCTTGGCTGCTGCTTCTAAGTGACTTAAAAAAAGCATACGATTACTATTACTTTCGTATGGATATAAGAAATAATATGAACAATATGAACTTGTAAGGGTTTTTCTTTCATTTAAAATTTTGCTTAATGTGTGATTTTCTAAGATTAATCAAAAGTAAAAACTAAAAAAATTCCATTTTGTGTAATTAAACAGAAAAATTGAATTTTTGTAAGTAATTTTAACGAAAAATATCATTTTGATATCAAAATTAGTTATTTTTTTTGAATGGGCTACTGATTTTTAATATAGTTTCTCACACTCTTGAGTTCAATGGCAGTGTATTAAAAATTTCATATCAGTAAATTTTAAATGAAAGAAAAAGAAACTTACAAAATGTTTAGAAAGAATTTACTATATAATAGATTAAATTTCTACATGTTCAATAAATAAAATTTCTATAAATATCTGCAACTGTTAAACTTCACATTTTTAATTTATAATTTCTAAAACTAATAATTATATTTACAATTAATAATTACATTTACTAAATTCTTTCGTGCCTAAAAACACATAAAAAATTATCATGATGAATCAAAACAAATTAACATAATATTCAAGAGATAATGAATTTTAATTTATTACATTTCTTGTAAATTTAAATAATAAATTTTTAATGCTTTTTTACACTTTATAAAAAATATAGTGTAATACAAATTGTGGAAAAGGCCAACAAAGAAGAGAAGTTCAATGCAAATCGTGGAAAGGAGAGAATAGTAATTTATGTTTGACACAGCTTACACCAGTTTCTATTCGTGAATGCTATGTATCTTGTACAAAGTTCAACGAAGGTATAATTTTATTTTATTTACAATCTTAAAAATTGTCTGAATAGTTGAATATTAAATAATTAGTGTTTCAAATATTTCAGCAATAGTTTTTCGATTCTAGTTTCTGATTCACCTATTTCTCTTATATGAATATAAATATGATTTGAATTAATATTTTATTAGAAAGAGCCTTAAACAATTTTCCAAAAGCAGTACATCAGACAACATAATAATTTACTTCCTTTTTTAAATGAATTAATGATTATTTTGCTTTTGTAAAAAAAAAAGAATGTTAGAGGTCTTTTTAGAGAGAAGGAAGAGCAAGAGCTTTAGTTCTTAGTAAAATATTAAAGAAACAGCAATTGATTTGAAGCGGGTATTTTGAATTTTATATTTCTTACAATTAAAACATGCTTCATTGCATATTTATGAATTATAAATTATAAATATTTTGGAAACTAAATCATTTAAATTAATTTTTACGATTTAACGGAGTTTGATTGTATATATACTGAAGTTAGTAAAAAAATCTATTCACAGGTTTTTAATTGTTCAGAGGGCTATTTTAGACTATCCATGTATTTTCCGTTGGATTTTCCGGTTTTCCAAGCACACCCATGCACTAATTAGTCTATTGATAATCGGAAGTTCGGTGTATTTAAACAAAATAGACGTCCAGATTCTTCTTTGTAATCTGTACTTTCTTTAAATTAATGTATTAAAATATAATAGGCCTATAATTGCCAGATTATATTAGGCTATTTTACTATTACTATTATTAATTAAATGCTAAGTAATCTGGCACTTGAGCGTTACGTGTTATTTAATCGCTAAATATAATATAGTATAATGAATTAATTTTTATATTAAAAACGTATTTAGTACATTTAAATATTTTTAAAACTTACTTTCAGTATGTACAGATGTCAACAAAGCTGGATATTGCAGTTTGGTTTTAAAATTCAAATTTTGCTCAAGAGCTTACTTCAGAAAAATGTGCTGTAAAACTTGCACAAAATAAGTCCAATTAGTGTTTTCGTCATTAAATATTTATTCTTTGAAGTGAAGGAAGATGACGTTTGAGAGATTACGGATAGGACTATGTGTTTAAGCCTAGAGACACTGAGTACGAACTGCTTTGCACTGCCAACTGTACATTATAAGAGAATAAAATCTTTTAAATTAAAATTTTTGTTTTGATTCCTTTAAATAATATATCATTTTAAAGAAGATAGGATGATAAATAAGTATATTAAACAACAAAAATTATTACAGTAGGTAAGGTTCAACAAATAAGTGAATACAAAACAAATAATGAAACTGTAGAAAGAATATAATTTTTGTTATTTGTAGTTTGTTAGTATTTTCTATAAACGTTCTTTAATAAGTTTAATTAATTTCCAAACAATTTCCTTGGCGCAAATAATTATGTTTGCTACTTAATAACATTAATGTTACCGTACAAGTAGGCTTATTTGGGAAATTTTTTCTTGGAAATCTTCACATATCATTTCCAAAAGTATAATTATTTGCTTCGGATTAAACGCCATACTCGACATGGCCACGTTTCCCGTACAGTCGATGATAGACGGTTACTCCACCCTCCACCCATATTTGTTCAAAACACTTTCGGGATCGTCACAAATTTAAAATTAGTAACGCTTTTTTTTAGTTAATTTTTTAGTTAAACATGTCACGTTATAATTTTCAAAACTGGAGTAAGGAAACTTTTAGTACACCTTGTATTTGCACAGTTAAAGCAATGGACTGTACCTTCTGATCACTTTAATGCTTAGATCCATCTATCCTTAGAAAGATGAAAGGGTTGTGTAAATATCATATGTATTCAGATAATCTTCTAACGACCTATTCGAATATCCAATATAGCCTGTATCTGTATTATGAGCAATAATGATAAATATACAAATTAAAGGTTGGCGCGTGGATTGTATTGCGCTGGATCAGAGATAAACTTTCGATCTACGCAAATACTGAGAGATTTACGTGTGAAAACTCGTAAAATAGTGAATAAACGCTAGGGATTGCAAACACTATTTTTGTTTTGGAAGTTCTCCTTATGATAGTTCTTATCAGAATGTGTTTAGTTTGTTGGTTATTATCGTTTGGTGTATTTAATATATTCGGATGTTTTGTAAATTTAAATTTTTATCAAGCAGTTCGAGTGTATCCTGTATGCAAAGTTTTGGTACAAAATTTGCTTTAGTTTTCCATGCTTATGACACCGTTTAAATTTTCATACACGATCTATTCGTTGTTCGAACGTTTTTCGAATTTTATGCAAGTTGCACTCTTTTAGCCGTGAAGAAAATACAAAGAAAACATGAGACATTTCTGCGGTTTTTTTTTTTTTTGCAATTCTGCAGAAAAAAAAATTTTGAAATTTGCCATTCGCTAAAACCTGGAAATGTTACAAGACTTGATGTATCGTACCATTAACAGGTAATTTACTGTACAAGGAAACCCAAGATTATTGAATAGCAGTCGTTCGAGAGATAGTAAAAGTCTAGGAATATTTAAAATCCCCGTGGACGTCAAAGAAAGCTTACCTTATAGGTGAATTCCTGAAGACAAACCACTCCTTTAGCACCTTTTTTCGATGCTAGATGAACGGTGACATCAACGTATGTTTTAAAGATAAATGCTTAAAACCTACCACATAAACACAGACAAAAAAAAAATTATTCACTTCCGTTGCCTCTTGTAGAATCTAATGTTTTTAAACGAGGCACTTATGAATCCAATTTAAGAAATAAAAATATTTATTCTCTATTTTATTAGCATTTAGTTTTTCTATATACGATGATTTTGTTTGTTTATTTCTTTACAGTTTCCTTAGATAAATTAGGCGTGTTTATTTACCATAAATACTTATTTTGACTTTGGCTGTACTGTGTTTAAATCAGTAAATCAGATATATATCTGTATCGGTATAATATTTTTGCATTTACACTAGTTCAGTTTTTGAGTTTAAAAAGTAGATCAGGTAAGAGAATTATTGTTTTTTACAGCAATTATAGTTACTTATTATCATTGAAAAAGATTATGTTGTGACAATAGAGACTCGAATTAAAAAGGAGCATTTGCATGGACTGAGTATATATCAGGTGTGGAACGTGCTGTGTATGATAGACACAGAGTTATTTTGGTAATATTGGACTACTTTTACGTTCTGTGTGTGATAGAGAGAGTTGCTTAGGAAATATTTGCATTTGCCTACTTTTACATTCGTTATTTTTTGCTCTATTTTTACTAAATTCATATACATTTGAAGCAGAGACAATACAATGACAAGTTAAGGAAAGGCATATGTCAAAATGGCTGCTAGCTGTCAATTTGACAGATATTTGTTATCTGTTTACTAGCAGATGAGCCCGGCGTTGCTCGAGCAAAAAGTAACGATAGCGAAGATTAAGATTAGCGAGGTTGAGGCCGACGTTTTAAACGCGAAAACGTGTAGGTCGGACGTTCGGCGTAAGCCTAAAAGTTTGGCAATGGTGTTTGGATAGTCGGTGGAATCACGCTCGACATTCCAAACACCATAGTCAAACTTCTAGGCTTACGGGAAAGCGGCGCCGAACGTCCGACCTACACGTTTTCACGTTTAAAACGTCGGCCTCAACCTCGCTATTATTAGATTATAGCCGATCTTATCCGTTTTCACCGGGTGCAAGAATTAGGTCGCCCTCTTCCGAGATTAATTAGAGAATTTTTACATGGTCTGAAAATATGTTCGATTTTCTGCAAAAACGCAAAAAACCGCATCTAAAATAGTACAGTAAAGCCGAGTTCTTTAAGATAATCCTTAACTCTCTCCCTCTCCCCGGCGGGATAATTTCCAAAAATTCCTTTTTAGTGTGCATTCTCATGACGTACCCTATAAATATGTATCAAATTTCCACTTTCAACTCCTAACCGTTTGGGTTCTGCGCTTATTATTATTATCAACCCATCTCGATTATAAGATTATGTTCTGTTACCTACAAATCTTACTAGCTTTGCAACTCATTTCTATCGTTATTTTATCTACCCTATTTTAATAGCATGATAAGCATCATCATATTTAATCATTTTCAATTGACCTCCTCCGGTCTTTGCAAAGGTCTGCGAATTTTTATTTAATATTTTTATTACAGTATGGAACAGAAAAGGAAAAAAATTGTCTGGAAGTCAATATGAAAAGAAACGCTTAAAGAAAAGGGAAGAAGGAAAAAAGCTATGTTATGAAGAAATTCTTAGTACAAAAGTCCTATTTAGATGAGCCGTCCACATCCACATCAACATCGTCTGCTTTGGATTTGGCAAATGAAAACTCAGTGCCGTCCCAATCACTTCCAGAAGAAGTTGTTGAATAGAGCCAAAAAATAACACCATCAGAAGTTCATGAAGAGCCGAGTAGCAGTAGCAGTGGCAGCCAGCAGATATTAAACGAAATTCCTTCTGATCCTACATTATGGAATGCTTTCTGCACGTCAACTGAAACTTGTCAAATACTGGCGGAGAGGGGTTCACATCAAATTAAAGAATTCGAGTTTCCTATTAATAAAGGAAGGCGTAGATTTTCGCCCTCGCATTATTTGAAAGTGTTGAGCAATGGTGAAGTTGGTTGATTACAATGATGCTGTTTTTTGCTATTGTTGTATTTTATTTGATAATTCGTCTGCTATTAGTGAATGACCTAAAAAAGGCTATTCTGATTGGGGAAATCTTTTAAGAACCATCACAATGCATGAAACGTCTGTAAATCACAGAAATGCTTTTAGAGCATGGAAAGAATTGGACATTCGATTAAAACAGAAAAAACTATTCACACTGAATATCAACGAATTATGTATAGCTTGTGATTTAACTATAGAGAGGGTTATTCTGACACAATTGGAAAAATTAGGTTTTAAGTTAAAGTGGCTTAGAGGACAAGACTATGACAACGGAGCTAATATAAAAGGAGTAAGAAAGGGTGTACAAAATAGAATACTTGAAAAATATCCGAGGGCGTTTAGGTGCCCTGCGAGTGTCATTCTTAAACCTAGTTGTGAATTGATGCAGCGTCTTCTACAGAAACAACTTTTTTTTCTATTATACAAGAACTTTACACTTTTTTCTGGTTCTTCAAAGCGTTGGAAAGTGCTAAAAAATATGTTTCACAATTAACTCTAAAACCATCGAGTGCTACTAGGTGGTAAAGCAGAATAGATGCGTTAAAATCTTTACGATTTTAACTTTGCGAAATCTATGATGCATTATTCCAAATAAAAGAAGACGTCAACAGAAATTCAGAAACTAAAGTTAAAGCAAGAAAGTTAGCAAAAAATATAAAAAATTGCAAGTTTATATGCAGTGTAATTCTCTGGCATGATATTTTATTTGAAATAAATCCAGTCTCGAAGCTATTGCAATCTGTAACTATAAATTTGTCAGATTGTGTAAGGATGTTATCATACAAAAAGTGAAAAGTTATAGACAATCTGGATATGATCAGATGAAAACTGCTGCTAATGAGATTGCAGAGAATCTTGAATGCAGTACAGAATTTCCTGCCGAAACTGAACTTAGATCCAGAAGGAAAAAGCATCAATTTGACTACAAAGAAGCTGTCGATGAACCGTTAACAGAAGAGAGTAAATTTAAAATAAACTTTTTCAATTATATTCTGGACATTTCCCGTAATTCTCCGAATGAATGATTCACGCTTCTGGAAACCTATAACAAAAATTTTCAGTTTTTATATAACATTTTAAAACTCAAGGATTTAGATGAAAAAACGCTAGAAAATTATCGTACCAGTCTCCAGTCAGTACTTTCGGTCGAAAATGAATCAGATATAAATGCAAATGATCTTCAAGAAGAATTGCGTGATATATCCCGAATGCTACCACATTTCTACGAAACGTTTGGATGTTTTAAATAATTTGTGCCAAAATAACTTAATTACTTTATATCCGAATAATGTTATAACTCTGAGAATTTTATTAACACTCCCCGTCTCTGTAGCTAGTGAGGAAAGAAGTTTTTCCAAATTAAAATTAATAAAACACTACTTAAGAAGTTTAATAAGCCAAACAAAACTTAGAAATCTATCATTAATTTCTATCGAATCTACATTGGCTGCCACTTTAAACTACACATTCCTAATTGACGAATTTGCTAAAGTTAGAAGAGTAAAACTGTAGTAGATTGTTGTAGTTGATAGTTGATATCGATATTTTATAGTAGTTCCGTGAAGGATTTTCGGAGTTTCACACAGAATTTCACAGAACAACGCTGCTCTTTCAAAGAGCTGATTTCTGTGGATCCGAGTTTTCGCCGAACTCCACAAACACCCCTTCACATAAACGGCCGTAACTAATCACCAAAACAAGATATTAACAAACGGGTTGAAGGAAGTTACTCGGGAGGTTTCCGCGGACACAATGCCTCCAAGCGAATTAAAAAATAACCAACTGGAGGCGCGCTATTCAAAAAGTCCGGGAACTTTTTGAACAACCCACGTACATTTTCTTTAGATTTTAGAATTCACTATAACCATATAAAAAGCAATACTGTATATTTTTGTTTATTATATACAGTTGCCCAACAGAAAAGTAAACTATCTTATTTACAATTCTTTTCAAAATAGACAGTTTGACCGGGCCCTTCTAAAAACCGGACCCTAGACATTTGTCTCATATGTCTATGCGATGATCCGGCCCTGGATAGGAACCACATCCATAGAAAATATTCGAATATTATTGTATAGAACGCAGCCCTAATATAACTTAAACGGCTTGGAAGATCACTGTCCAACTGGCACGAATCGTATAGACCAGGGGTCTCCAAAGGGGGTGCGCGTACCCCAGGCGGTACGCAATGTGATACTTTGGGTCAGAGCCGTAACTAGACAGGTGCAACAGGTGTATTCGCACAGGGCCCACTTGGAAGGGGTGACCCAAACTGCTGTTCACAAGAAATTATAGTTTTAAATCTTAAATTTTTCCTCCTTTTTATTGGCGTTTACATTTTGCCTTATTTAGACCCTAGATGTCTGCTCACCAGTGTTCCCAACCGTGGCGACTTTTAGAGGGACGTAGTGAGATAGCGGAGACCGCAGACAAATCAGCCAAAAGTAGCGACTTTTGAAATTTTGTTTATTTATTTTTTGAGAAATTTAAATTTATGTTTATAGTTTTCAAATTTATAGATTTTTTCTCTACTTTATAGAGCTCTCTGGCAACGACTAATATTATTATGATATACAAAACTGTATTTCTAGATTTTTCTACAGTGTGCAGAGCTAGAAATCTGTAAAGGTAACATTTTGTAAGAAAAATAAATCTGCCCGGGGATTTTTTAATTGCTAAATTGCTAAATAGAAGACGTGGTAACTCTCGAATAAAATCTTAGTCTCGAGGTTGTAAAAGGCGTGCAGAAATTCTGACATAACTTTTTGCTTTGTAGTGGTACGCATATGTGTTGTATACCTCAACGGCGGATTAAGCGGTAAGCGAACTATGCGGCCGAGTAGGGCCTCGAAGGGGCCCCCGAGGTCTTTAAAATGCTACTGAAAAAAGGCTGATTTTTGCTTTCTCTATGGCTCTTCTTTACAATACATGAGTGTTGCTGATTTAAAAAAAAAATCAGCTGCAGATCTCGCTATTAAATATAGCAAAGATTTAAAAAAGTACGAATTCACAAGTGAAATTGAAAGTTTTAAGTTTGAAGTAACGACTCTTATACAAAATATAGAAACTGCATCTCCGCTTAATATTCTACAGGCTCTTCATGATTTTGGTTTGAATCTTACCCAAATATCAATGTCGCTCTTCAAATAATTTCTAACTCTTCCCGTTTCTATTGCTTCGTGCGAGAGAAGTTTTAGCAAGTTAAAATTAATAAAAAATTATTTAAGATCAACTATCGGGCAAGAACGATTGTCCAATATTTCTATTATTTCAATAGAATACATTATCATTAAAAATATTAATCATGTAATTAATGAATTTGCTGAAACGAAAGCCAGGAAAGTTCAATTAAAATAAATCTTATTAAAAATCTATTGTAATATATTTGTTTTATTATTTTCCCAAACCAAATAAATTAAGGGGCCTAAATGCAAATTCTTGCACAGGGCACAGGAATGGCTAGTTACTGCTCTGCTTTGGGTACACCAAGTTTACCTAATATAATATATATATATATATATTATAGGGGATACAACTTAAAATTATTTACATCTTAGGGGTACGCGATCAAAAAAGTTTGAAGACCATTGATATAAACGTTCTAATTCATACCGAACCATCACTAAATGATGTGGATCATCATGCGTGCACTTTTATTAGCTGTTAATGTTTTCATACATCCGACCAAACATATAAATTTCAATTCTATATGTAATTTAAAAAATTCTTTTTACGTTAAGGGACAAACAAGACATTTTCTATGACAGGCTATATATAGTATAAAAATATTAACAGCTAATAAAGGTGCACGCATGATAATCCACATCATTTAGCGATGGTTCGTTATGAATTAAAACGTCTATACAGTTGGACAATCTGACTTGCGAGCTGTTTAAGTTGTTAGCCTAGACCCGTAATCCCTGTCCCGGATATATCGAATGCCGATTCCTCATAATCCGGAACAGATTGTGAGAAACGGCCCGTTTCATTGTGGACCTAGCCAAACTCATGATGGGTAATGAAGAATCTCTTATCGCCCGTGGGGCAGAGTGAAAACCATTGCTATACTTAAGCACCCGGCCATTTATTTTATCATAAGTACTTCTATAACGTGTAGTTACGATAATGATTTTGAGAGATTCGCATCAAATTTATCTCTCAGTATTTTTTTAATCCATGATATATTTATTTACGTAGATTAGAATAAAAATGAGAGGAACGAGATCATTTGTGACGAATACTGCAGATACCGTCAGGCAGTCGCGCCGCGCCGCGCCGCATTAATCTCGAATGAAAATGGCGTTCGAGAGAAAGTCGATACAGTCTAATGTATGTTATACTTATTTTTTTAATAAAATTTTAAATTATATTAACTCTTTTCTATAATGAACGTGCAATAAATTTAGTTTATTTTCGTTTATTAAATAATAATTTACAAAAGTTACGTTTAAGCCGTTCGTGTCTGCCGGTTCTTCCGCCAAATTATAGAATTTGAATAAAAACAATTTCCTTAAATGGTTTAATTAAAATAATTTATAAAAATACAATAAATTATTTAAATGATTTTATTAGGCAAATTGATTTGACTGAAATAAATAAGATTGTTTAAGATAGAAATGTCACAAGCAATTTTATTGGATTAATATGTTTAATTATTAACTTTGACACTTGCTTTATAGTTTTACAATTGATATTTATATAATGTGTAAATTTAGGATATCTCATTTGAAAGTGCTTGTCTTTCCAATTTATTTATGCTAAACGTTTATTTTGATGTGCTTTTTTCTAAACAAATAAAACTACAGAGGACAAGAAAGATATATAATTATCAACTTATATGATTTTCAATAGTATGATATAAAGTTATTCGGTAATGTTAATTTGTTGGCAATAACATTTAAATTAGATTATTATAGATCTGATGAAATAAGCGAAGAAAGCCATTCGGTTTAAAGCCAAAATTTTGTATCTGATTTTGGCTGTTAATCAGTGACTAATTGTGTAAAGTTTTAAATGATTTGTAGTTATAGATTCTATAGACTTTTTGTAAGTATTGTAAATAATTCGTAGGCATGATTCTAGCATTGCCTGAATGAACCCCCCCCCAAACTGTAGACCCCGTGTGATCAAATAATGTCTAATGAACCATACCCCTACGGGCGACACTTCACAAGATATAGCCCCTCAAATTCGGACTGTGCAATTGGGTGGTGAGGGCTATACCTACGTCGTTTCTGGTTATGTGACACCTACATAATATACCAAAACTTTGTTTTTTTCCTCTCACGGGGGTCTACAATTTGGGGAGGCAACACTAGAATCGTGCCTCATTGTTTATATATATATAGGGGGAATGAGAACTGTTGAAAGTCCCAAATATAATCCTTTATGAGATATGGATTCCAAATTTTGGTGAGCCCACAGTGGTCAAATGGATAAAACTACTGAACACCACCTAATAATTAGTTGGACATGGATTTGCATCCTACTAACAGTCACAAGAAAATTTTTGAATTTTCTGATTTGTCTAACATCTGAGTAGAGGACAGTTTCCCATACAAGTCATGAGCCACTCCCCTTTAGCTAATTAGCCATGTGTTGTGTTATCTTATCCCATCAATCCAAACCAAATTCTGTATGATCAATTCTATAATCATCCAATGATGATAGAATTGTTTGACACATTAGTTCTAAGAGCTAGGCAGCAGAAGTGAAATGGAGAAAGACTAGAGACCAAGAAGAAAATATCTGCATGGTACAGTGGTGCCTCATATAACAGATGCTGCAAACAATGGACTTTCTGTTTGGCAGTTACGTGACTAGAGCAACGGACTTTCCGTTCAGCAGTTACATGAAGCGAACTACGGTCTTTCTGCAAACAAGTGCGAATGATGTTTCTACTCTTTTGTTATTGCCAATGACAATTTGCTATTTTTATAATATATTAGTATTATTAAAATATATTATTAGTATATCTGAAGTACAGAGCTCCTGTTGAGAAAAACTTGTTTGTTGTACTAAGCGTTCGATTTACATTTTGTTATTTTTATTTGCTTTATTTTTCTTGAGAAAGGTCTTTTAACAAGACTGAAAACGTTAGAAGTAATAAACTTTGGCTGCAAGATAAGGTGTATTAGTGAGTTTTTTGATAGCTTCCGTTGAGATTCGGCTTGCTCCCTTGTTTATTACGTACATCACCTCAGTGCAGGGTATTTACATTTATTCAAGTGTTGTGAAAATCATGGCTTCTAAATAAACAGAAAGGTGACTTGAATTGAATACAAAGCAAGACATCATCAGGAGTGAAAGTTGACAAAAAGTTCCTTGTCAAATGGGGAGAGGTTCAGGAGTTTACCAACACTCATTATCCAAACAGAGCTGAGGCCAACAGGATCAATGATCTCTACAATAACACCCTTTCCTATCATTTCCGACAGATGTTGAAGAAGAGAGAGAAACAGACCACCTTGGACATGTTTTTCAAGAAGCCAGCGGCAAAAAGCAAAGGATGGAACAAGAGAAGTTGACCCTGCAAGTTCCGGTAGCCTCTCCTGAATCTGACTCCAATTAAAAAACAATAAAAAGAGACCTTCTGCAATGTGTAAAAAGTCTGTATCTGTATGAATATGTAAAGAAAGTGTTCCTCCATCTCCTCCTCACAACATCTGACTACCCAGCATAATTGGTGACTGCTCCATTTTCATTTTTTTTTTTATAGTACAGTACAGTTATTTTATGGCCACGGAACGAATTATATGTTTTAACATGTATTTCTATGGGAAAATCAGTTTCGTATAACGGACTTTTCACTTAACGGACTTGCACCTGGAACGGATTATGTATGTTATACAAGGCACCATTGTATATGCAAGAAAATGAAATGTTAACATATCAAACAATTGGCTATTTAGAGACAGTCCTTGTTTAAATGAATGTTCTTACGAACAGTCCCTCTGCAACAGGTAAACTACAGACAGGATGTCTTTGTGCACTTTTTTTATAAGTCAAGAGGCACACTTTAATGTCCTTTGCTGGCATTATGTAATGAGCACTATAACTATAATCATTTCCATATCTGCTTGCTATTTATCTGCATATGAAGCTTTGCAGCAATACAACAACTTTGTTGGTGTGCTAATTTTTATGGTAATGAATGTATATACAGATTACTTACCAATGGTAAAGATGGCTTAAATGAATTGTGAGCCCCTGGGATATATGTTGTCCCATTAGTTGATTCCGGATTCAACGGACTATTAACATACATTGGCTTCTCTTACAGATCCGTGAATGCAAGAATTAAAGAACATATATATATCTCTAGACATAACTATGTTTCAGTACTGGCCCAATGTTAATCAGAGCCCAGAATGTCCTTGTTGGAATGAAATTAGGCTTTTGCAAAAGATATTTTATAGAGAGAAATTATGAACAATCAAAGCTACAGAAATATATAAAGTTAAACTCAATTGAGGTTGCATTAATAATATTTCTTTACCATAAGCATGACAGAACATTCTATATACTCTTAACTCGTACATCTATGACACATTTGTTTAACTTCAGTTCCTGTTATTTTTAGTATTTTTGTTTTTATTTAAAAAATTTATATTATTCATTGTATGTTCTTTGGAATTAAGCACAAAATTGTTACAGAGAATAATATTCCTGTATGATTTCCTTATATTATTCAATTTGATTTATTTATTGTCTGGAAAGTAAATATTGATTTTTGTCATTTATTTTATCTTATAATTTTCAAATTGTGTCATTAACCTATGAGACATTCTTGTAACTCCAGTTCTTACATTATTTTTTAATATTTTTATTTATAAAAATTTATATTAACTTCATTGTATTTATCATTTGTAAAGCTTGCAATATTTTTTGTCATATATTTTTATCATTAATTTTCAAATCATGTCATATTCTGTTTGGAATGTTTCCCAGTTTTTGAATACATTCATCCTTGTTCTATATATGGAACAGCTTTTTTAGCTGAGGAAGGCTTCTTAATCTTGCCAAAAATGTTTGTAATTCCATTAAATACTATCTGCTGGAGTACGTACAGTATGTATGGTGTTTGTTTGTGTCAATTGACTATCTGGTATTACCTAAATGTTGCCAAGTCATAGAAAAACTTTCCACTGGTTCAAACTCCAGTTCCCACTAAATTTGAATGTCTTCCTACTAAATATGGCATGATATCAAGCCTAATATTGAGTATTCAAGCTCAGGTATGATATTAAAGATTCTTAGGCTTGTCATCTTAGGTTGCTCAAAAAAGGTATAACTTTTAACATAATGCTGTATTAATATAAATTTATCAGTGCCCCAAAATTTTCCACCAAAACTACTGTATCTTCTACTAAATTTCCCATGGTTGCTTCAATTTTCCATATTAAATTTAGTGAGAATCCGTCAGTTATTACTGGCAATGACAGCATGCACGGATGTTTTGATCAACAGTACAACCTGTGTTTTGCTGTGTCATTACTAGTTCTATGCTGTCAAATTCATTCATGTGCCATTGAATTTACTTTACTTCCAATAATCAGGTAATTTCCTTAATCTGACACTATTCTAGCCTTGTATGTATCAGATTATTGAGATTATACTATGTATGATTTTTGTTAGAAACTTAGAAACATAGGACAAAAGACTGTTTTCTAATAGACAAAGTTTCATTATCAAAAAGGCTATTATTGAAGTTCTTTGGAAATCCTTGGAAATTTTACCTCATGTATGTACTATTGTTGACTTTTGACTTAATGAAATCTTGTGTTATGAAGATTATCATTATGGATTTTGCAAATTTTTTAAATATTAATCCTTTTTCTCCTTTAATAGTTAAATCTAGAAACACCAATTTCAAATTTTTTCTTCTTCTGTTTAAACTTTACTTCGTTATCAATAATAATTACTGAATGATGTATTCCGAACCAAATATGGTGTGTAGATGACGAAAACAAACAAAACACACCATAATTGGTTCAGAATATGTCATTAACTATATCCTGGTGTGGTGAGTGGTTGTTTATATTTACTGAATATAATGTTTTACCTACTTTATTTTTTTAACATATATAATATAAAACAGTCATCAACATATCTTTTAAAAAGTATAATTTCCGTAACGCTTTGATTTTTCTTGCTTTTGGTCTATGGATATCAAGACTAATTCTGGAAGTTTGTGCATAGGTCTGAAACTTGAATTGTCAGGATATCCATAGACAAAAGAAATTGAATCTCTTTGTTAAGTAATGGAATATTTCATTTTTCATTCTTCAGACACATTTGGTCTGTAGTGTCCTTCTGAAATTATTTAGTTCTTATAAGACAATACATTATTTAATGTTTATGTTATATTTTATGAAGTAAAACACTGTGCAAACCCCATATTATATATGTATTTAGAAAAGTTATATGGGATTCTATAGTACAGGGTTTCCCAACAGGGTTATTATTGACCCCTTAGGAGTCAATACATCATTGCAAATATTAAAAATTTTGCTCTTAAATAAGTGTGGGAAGATGCCTTCTAAAAATTTTGTAAGAGGCTATGGCATATATATATAATATATATAATATTGAAGGGGATCAATAGAAAAAAATTCTTTTTAAAGCAGTCAATATATGAGAAAGTTTTGGAATCTATAGTGTACCTGTATTGACAAAATAAGCAAAATATTGTACACATACAGTATTAATTACAGATAAAATGCTTATTATACTGGTATAATTATTCCTCTATTATAATTTATTATTTGTTATGTAAACAGTTGTTTTAAATTGGAGACATCTGAAAACTTTTTGCAAAATTTTCTGGAAATTTTAAACTTTAGGACCTGGCAGTGCTTATTATACAGTAAACTTACCTGGCAATGTTTGTATTACAGTAAACACTTATTTCATGTCTCTTGTGTACAAAATAATAAGTTTTTACACAAGAAACATGAAATCAGTGTTCTTAACAAGTTTTCCTCCTATACTAGCTACATTTTTCCACCAGAGTAGACCATATTTCAAGATCTTCATAGTATTATATATATTATACTATTTAGACCATTTTTATTTACATATCCCAAAATGCATTTCGGCTATCATTATTTAGCCCTTTTTAGTTGGATATAAGTCTAAAAATCAGGAAATTGTTTTGAGACAATACAGCATGAACATGCATACAAACATATTTAAACAAGTAAAATGGCAAAACCGTATTTGGGACAAGACTATGTCTCGGAGACTCACTACTAAGCGGAATCACTTTGACGCTGAAGGCGGGTCTCGTTCTCATTCTCCAATCTTCCTTGGTATTGCTGCTTTTGGGCACGATCGTTTAAACTTTGCCGGCCACGACCACAAAGTTGTCCACGATGCATTTTCAATGAAATTAACCTATCCAATTTCGAAATTTTTCTCTGTTGCGTGTCAGCCCAGGTTGAATTTTTATCAATGCGTAACAAAAATTTCCCGTTTTCGAAAAAAATAATTGTGGCTATTATATCATCCGAAATTATTTTTTTATTTTGCACAAACAATATACAGTTTAACTTGATTATAACATCATCAGATGTAACGACAACCATAATATAACATCAAAATTTTATTGGTCCCACGATTTTACTATACTAGATAATGTTAAAAAAAACCCACTTGTAATGACACCCTGTTTTAATGTCATATTTGAAGCACTCCCAAATTTACAAAATTAAATTACAAATTTTATTTAACATAGAAGAAACTACATGTTCAGTCCTAAGATCAGAGTTCACTTCTTAGAATGACTGTGGGTGCTACTCTCCCCACCTGACTTCGATGGGGTGAGGTGCCTGTTTTGCCTGTTTGTAGAAGAGGGTCACCATCTTGTATTTTATTTTGACTTGGCTCTCGGTCCTCTGACTACCTACAATTCTGGATTTTTTTATGCACAAATGATTTGGGCACCTAATACTATGTGCCAAATATCAACTCTTGATATGTATTCCTTCATACCTCTATGCTGGTAACATAAAATGGCAGTATAATAATTTACAGCAAGATTAAAATATGGCATTTACAACTATTAAATTAGGATTTGGTGCCAATCACATGTAACCAAACTAAACCATCAATACATGTAAAAATCATGACAACATACCACTCTCTAGGTAAACAATACATGATAAAATAAATGCCACAACCTTTGTAATTTGATGTGCAGTTATTGCCTAGAGGGCAGAGGAACATCAGGAGTAAATCAACCATTGTGCAGGATGGAAGTTACTTGCTGTGAGCAATGTTCCTATGTGAAAATAGTGAGTTAGTAGTTAGAGATAGTTTAATAGAGATAGTTCTCTGAGGGTAAACTGCCAGAGAATGTCATGGAGCTAGTGGAAGCTGTGAGAAATGCTATGTCGTACTGAACTATTGCTAGGTGGGCAGCAGTGTTTCAGCGAAGATGTGATTCAACCAATGACCTTCACCATTTAGAATGACCTGTGAGAGTGTGGATTGATGTGTCATATGCAGTAATCACCTAGTATGTGGAATCAGACACAATGGACACAGCTTGGGTTATTGGCAGAAACTGACATTGAGGAGCAAACCATTCACAGGATTCTATGAGAAGATCTTCAAATACAGAAAATTGCAGCAAGGTAGGTGATGCTTGCATTCACTGAAGTTTAAAAGTAGACATGGTATGGAATATGTTGCAACTACCTGACACTACCAGCAGAAAGAATTTGGGACCACATGTAGGTACCAGAGCTCAGACATCAATCAGCAGATTGGTGATGTGCAGGATCATCATGAAGGCAGAAATTTTGACAAAACCTTTCCTCTGTCAGGTGATGGTGATTGCAGCTTATGATGTGACACCCATGACATTGTTCAACATGGCAGAACAGTAACAGTAGAGTACTACCAAATCTTCCTGCAAAGACTTTTATGTTGTGCTATTAGGAACAAATGTCTTGATCTTTTGGATAATGCTGCCATTTTTCAGGATAATGCAACACTATGTAAAGCAGCTTGGGTACAGGAGCTACTCAACTACTGGAGATAGGAGATACTGGAACACCCTCCATACTCACTGAATCTGTTCCTGTGTGAGTTTGACTTTATACCAAGGTTGCCCAAACCCAGGCCTGTAGGCCACAAAGTGGCTTGCCAAAGCATTTGAATTTGCCCACCCACAGTAGCAGTCAGCTGTCACCATGCGCGATGTCATGCTACCAATAATGCCAACATGATTGGTCGAACGTGGAATGAACTATGACTTGAGTCACTGCCACACCACTGTTAATACCTAACCTACGCATTTATTACACTTGTTCTATTAGTTTTGAGTTGACTTTTGTTATTAAAATTAAATTGTTGTCACCAAATATTGAAAAATTATTAGCTAATAAGCCCCTTCATAGGTCTCATTGATGTATTTTTTATTAGGTATTATTAAAACATGTGCAACTTAAAGCTTTGTTTGATTCAAATACCTATCCATTTATAGAAGAATCATGAGTGTAAGCATATATGATTCACTAGGTGGCCAGCTGGCTGACATGTAATTGAAATTATAGCCTGCCTCTAAAATGAATTGGGCAGCCCTGCTTTATACCCAAAGTAAAGGAACTGCTACATGGAAGATGGTTTTGGACTCAAGAAGACAATACCATTGCTATGAATCATGAGATGATATTCATAATGAGGCAGATGATATTCAATGCCTTCCATATTGTTGGCAGTATATTGTGAACACTTATAATAAACTTCTTATAATAAACAACAGAAAATACTTTGATATCAAATTCCTAATATTTAAATTGTCTTTACGAACTCATTAGATTTGGATAAGTGTAGATCAGTCACTATTATATATAACAGTGACTACTGATCAATATAATTTTTATAATACTGATAAATAACAACATATTTATATAAATGATAATTTAATAATCAAATTGAGAGATTATAATATATATGTTTTTAATTCAATTTTTTACAGGGTACAAAAAAATTAAATCTGCTGGATATTAAGAAGAATACTAGTATGATCAGTTGAAATAATACTACAGGAGAGCAGTTTTCTGAAAAGCTGTTTATGACCAAATATTTGAAATATGAATCCAATCAATAAGAGTCAATAAAATTATTTTAAGGTGAGAGAAATTGAATTGAAACATGATATTTGTGACAATTTCAAAATGAAACACCATGTTAGTTTTTAAATTATAACTAGAAAATTATTTTGTTTTTGGTCAATAATTTTTCACATTACCATTTGCAATATTTCAAATATAAAAATATATAAATTAATTTCTGTTAGTTAACTTGTGTTATTAGAGATTAAGATTTAATCATAGTATTTTAACTAGAGATGGGCAAATACTGGAATACTAAAGCATATTCGAGATTGGAAAGCTCAAACATTATGTTGATAATAAATTTGAATATTATGAATACCTAAATATTGTGCCATATATACAGTTACAGTGGCAGATTCAGAAGTGTCCAAAGGGGAAACTTGCTCAAAATTTAAAATATTTGAATAATAATAATTATTTAAGTTAAGGTTAGTAAATACAGAGTTATGGTTAATAAGTATAGTCAAACCTCAGATTATAAATGCCTTTGTTTTCAAACAATTCGGTTTATGAACAAAATTTTGAATGCCATATTTGCTCCGGTTGCATGTGATAACTCGGTTTTTGAACAAACTACTTGACAGAGCAGGTCACCAATGGTCTACTTCCTATATTTCCTATGTTAAAGAAAGTTGAAAACCTGACCAATCAACAACAGGATTACCAATTTAGTAGTAGTGCCAAGATTCGCTTTGCATCATTAGATGTCACAACATGAACCATTGATGACATTGTTATTTAAATTAGATTTCAATGCATGTGCAGATAAGATACTACTACTGGTTTTCAGTATGCACCACAATCAGTTTAAATCAAATTAATTAATAAAAACCATGTTAATTGACATTTGCGTAATATAATATAATAAAATATGTTTAAAGATGCTCAACTCAAGTAAAATAACAACAATTTATTAATATAATATAATTTATATTATAATATTAGTATTTAATTTATTATTAATTAATACTAGGTAGCCAGTTAATTAAAACTAAAAATAATAATATAATAATTAAAACTCTGGTTTTTAAACTGAAACTAAAATTAAAAATAAAATTAAAATTAATTAATTAAATTTAAATTAAAATTTAAATCAAAGCAATTGAAACATAATATTTCAGGAAGTGTGGACAAAGTACTTGTCTGTCTTTATTGATTTGGTTATATATCATCCAGGAAAAGTAGAGTCTATTTAAAGCACTTTTTTTGTAAAGAGATGGTTTCAGTTTCATTTGGCAGTAATGGAGCATTTTGCTTTTAATACTTGTATATATATATATAAAATGGAAATGAATGTATATATAGATAATATTATATTACATATTATTATATTTCATTTGTAGATATTTTTATGCTTGAAATACAGCTAAAAAGATAAGAAAAAAGAAAAAGGTTTTGTTTTGGGGTACAGAACAGATTAGTCCATTTTACATTGTTTCTTATGGGGAAATTTGTTTCGGTTTGACAATGAATTGGTTTTCAAACAACTGAGGTTTGATTGTACCCTTCATTAACATAGGCATGACTATTGTATTGTGTATGGTTTAATAAGCCATATTTGCCATCATAAATGTTTTTGTTTTTAAAAAAAAATGTTTTCAAGATTTGAACAAATAAATTTTAATTAATTATGATATCTCTTTGTATCCATCAATACATACAGACTGCCTCTTCAGCACTTCTGCTGTAATATGTAGAAGAAAATCCTGAACCTTTTTGAATTCTTGTTTTCTGAAATAAAAAAACTGCAGTATGTGAGAATGAGAACAATTATTTGTTAATCTATTATAGTTGAGATAAGAGTAACTAAAAAAAGGCTACTTTAAAACTCAATGTCAAAATTAAAAGTTTGAACTTTCATTTCTTAAAATTTAGTAAATTATTTTTTCTTTTACTTTTTGCTTCACTTCATTAATATATTAATAGTAGCAGTAATATAGCTAGTGTTACCACCCGTCTGGTTTTCACCTGGACAGTCCAGGAATTGACTCACTGTTCGGGTGAACTATTAATTTTGTTCAGAAATTTTGTAGAAATTGTGAAATTATGATAAAACAAAGTTCTTGCAAATATTTTTACAAATTTACACTATTTTACAGGGTTCCTACACATCTGGAAAGTCAGGGATTTTCATTAGTGTTTGGAAAAAGTCAGGGAAAGTCAGGGAATTTGTCGAAAATTGTCAAAAAGTCAGGTAATTTGTCAGCTTAACTGCATTGTTGATCTCGTTTGTGGAATATGGATGACCAATCATAGCCATCTGCAGGCGGCAAGAAGTAATGCTGCAATCTTTAATAAGAAAATACACCAGAATCCATTTTGAAATGGTTTTTTTTTCCACCTTTCTGAAGCCATATATTTTTACAGTTGTGGATTAATAACAGGATAAACTACTTTTATGTAATAGTGTTTAATTTTTAATTTCAATAATTCAGCAATTATAAAAAGATGAAATTGTTTATTAGAATAAAAAATAACTAATTAAAAATTAGTTTGCAAACTTTTAAAAGTTGAAATCGTAATTTATTAGAATGTTCACTTCAAAATAGCTAAATAGATCAGTAAAAATCTGTAATTTAATCGTTTTTCACGTTTAAAACATTACTACACAACATAAAAAATTATAAATAGTTACCAGACGTTTACAGTAAAATACTGGTGCTGACTTGTTGTTGGCATAAGCTTTTTATATTTGTTGTTATGATTTTTTCTGAATGTACTGTACTGCAAGCATATTTTTTCCCGCAACTTCGATACATAGTTTAATAATTAGTTTAACTGAAATGACGTTGGGTAACAAATATCACTGATTTTGGCAAATTTAGGGCTTAAAAACTGGCAAGATTGATCATACTTGTAATAAATATTCTGTAGTTATATTTTCGAAAATCAATAGGTAATCTGATAGTTTAATTAATGTTAACTTGCTTATAATTAAAATTTAAAAATTAAAAAGCTGTAAATTTTAAAAAAATTAATTGCATTACTAAAAAATTAAAATAAATTTGATTATCTTTTGTGTGAAACAACACCAAAACAATTTTTATAATTATGTTGCAAAAGAAAGAGATTTGTAGTTACGATTCTCTGCGCTGAACTTCTATATTTTAATAACATATAATTATAATTTCGTTTGTTGTTTATCTCTGTATTTATTTTATTTTATATGTTTTAAGAATCCCAATTTTCGTAATACTATGACGTCATAGGAATACAAGTGTGAGGTTTCAGAATTGTCCGGAACTAAAATAGAAAAACGTAAAATAATTTAATTATTAGAGAAAAAAAAGGAATGAACAGAAATTTTTTATAGAAACTTGAGGAATAGTCTAGACCTGTGTTTCTCAACCACCGGTCCGCAACTCTAATCTGACCGGTCCACGAAAACTTTAAAAATATATATTTAACCTGTCATGCATTGTTCCCGAATTGGAAATATGTGGATTATTAATCTGTTTATTGATAGCAAACTAATAGATTGAATGACTTTGAACACGAAAAACTAATCAAATTAAGTTCAGACTTGGGATTTAAAATATTGTTTGAATAAATGCCCATAACACAGTTTTGGATTAAAGTTAAATCTGAATATCCAGTTTTACATGAAAAGGCAGTTAGGATGTTACTATCTTTTTTAACAACGTACTTATGTGAATCAACATTTTCAGCAATGGTAATGATAAAATTGAAACAACGAAATTGTTATAGTGTTTGTTCTGCCTCACACCTTGCAGTTACTACCTTAAATCCAAGAATTGATGATCTTACTAGCAAAAAAGAAAAGCAGCGATTACATTGATTTGTATACTAATGTACTGGTAAATAAATAACAAATATTTATTTCTCAACGTAGTTTGCAGTTCTTTTTACAACAGAGAATTTTTTTTTCAATTAAAAATAATTCTGTCCCTGGTCTGCTTAAAAAAAGCAGATATTTTCCAGTCCGCAATGAGTTTTGGGTTAAGAAACACTGGTCTAGACCATCCTTTCTCAAAGTGGGCAATAATGCCCCCTTGCGGGCGCTGGAGGCTTTCATGGGGGCAGTAGAAGGCTCAGTGATTAAATATGAGTTTTATTTCTTCTCATCGAAACATTCTTTGATCTCAGAAATAGGATATGGGTCACACCCTATCTATCCTATCCATATAATAATGCATGTTTAAACATTATATTTGCAATAACTGTTTTTAAGATATGCAACAGATGGTAATGTAAAAAGGTTAAAAAAAAGTTACTCTTTTTGTTGAAAGATTGATTTTAAAATTATGTGTTTCTAAGTCAAGAGTTCATTTTAAGCACAGTACAGTACTATTTGTTTATCAAAGAATAATTTTTGTTGATTTTATGTTACCTTGTATTTACTAGATTTACATACAAATAATAATGATAAATGATGATAAAATAAAAAGCTTGTGTTTTGTTTGTAAATTGCTTATTTTTTCATTACATTGAAGTTGTGGATTCTATCAAACATTTTTCTACAGGATATACTGTATTTTTTTAATGTGGCAGTCTTTGAAGCATATTAACTGTGCAAAAGGAGGGCTAGATGTACTCAATGTTCACAGTAACTGCTGTTTTATTATGTCGATATTCCACATTAAAAAATGTGAGGGTCAGGGAATTTGGACAAAGTTGGTCAGGGAAAATCAGGGAATTCAAAACAAAAATTTGAGTAGGAACCCTGATTTAAACAGCAAAAGAACTCACACTCACTGAAACTCATCTTCAATTCTGCCATGTTAGTCTGCTTACACTGATGTGTGGTGCGCAAGTCGACTTTTTTTTTTCTTGCATGTATGATCGTACACATCTCCAATATCCAATAGAGCTAAGTCATCTGTACCTGTTCTTTCTTAATTAATTTAGGGTTACTTACATTACTCCTACGCAAGTCCCTAGTCCCTAACTGTAACTGATTTAGAACCAGCATGCATGTTATTCTTCACATTGTAAAATTGATATTGTGCATGCAAACCTAACCTGCTGTCTGGGTCAGTGATTTTGAAAAGGTG